TTTAATAAATATATATTAATACATTAATAAATATATATTAATATATTAATAAATAAATTAATATATTAATAAATATATTAATAAATATATATATAAATATTTAGAAGATTTTGCGATAATCGCAAATACATACAATCTTTTTTTATCGATACGTGTGAAAATTAGATTTAAATTATCAGCAAACATTCACTATATTCTCGGTTGTCGTGTCATAATCAAGTCTGAAATGTCAAATAGAACCGCCGGTTATGTAATATCACAAGTGCTTTTGATGATTGATGTGTACACGTCGCACGCACGTATTTTGCGCAACTACAATCATTACTTTAATTGCATCTTTTTTTAGATTAAAGTCAAGAAAAATTAACGGAAGAGAGTAGACTCATTTATGTAATCTCTCTTTTTCTCTCTCTATCTCAAGTATTATCATTATGCAAACTACATTATAATTGATCTACCATACCTTGGAATGATTATGCGATAAGAATTTATGTTGTCTGCATTTTGTATGTCTTCACTAATGTAAGAACGAGTTTTGGAACTAAAATATTTGAGGAGACTTGCTTAATTTGATGATTAATATTCTTTTATGACATTTAGAGAGTTTATCTTCTTCCGAGATAATGAACTGCTGGCAAAGCTCATCAAATATTTGATGGCAACATGCTTATTCAAAAGAATTTTAAGTTTAACTTCTGCAATTTTTTGCAAAAATATGACTCCAATTAACTGTTAAGAATTATCAAATCTTTTCTTTCAAACTGTTAATTATTTTTTAAAGCTACTTTTGAGCACGGTTTGTTATTATTGTTTTAGATAAGCATTGTAGATAACAGTTTAAAAAAAAAAACAGAATATATAGGAAATTACAATTGACTGAAAGATTAGAGATGCATTGTTGTGTATGCATCTGTATGCTGAACACACACATACACACATACACAACACTTTGCTAACAAGACTGCTTTCTCTCTTTAATTTACATATCTGAGTCACTATTTCCGTTTTTATTACAGCATTATTTATATAGGACTCGATACTTGCCTAGTAGTTTAGTTTTAGTAGTTTATCGGGCATAACATGTAATGCGATAATCATGCGCCTTGAACATTTGCAAAGATAGTTGCGACACAAAATTATGTCACTTCATAAATAATTAAACATGTTAATCTTCATAAATAACGAGCGAAAGCGAGAATAAAATGAGATTAATTCTTGCAGATATCAAAATAATATTTTAGTATCTCATAAATATTTTAAAGCTATAAATTTTTTTTAAGGCCGAGAAATTTTGCTTGCAAAATTATAAATATTCAGAAGTGTAATGATAAAAATGTTGAAACACACAAATAAAACAGAATAATTAGTCTTTCAAAGCGATAATTGCAATGCATTAAGGATTCCAGTCATGAAGCCGAAAGACCAATCACCGGACGTGGATCGATGAGCGAAGCGAACGAAACTGTTCAACAGGAATTACGAGACCAATCTTCGACGCTATAAATCATGCTTCAGTTTCACGCTCGAGTAAACGATCGCAAGTCTTACCCTTCGCCGATGTATCCATCTTGATGTCGTACGAAGATCGACGGCGGATTGATGCGTTTCCTCTCGTAGTCTTCGGCGATGATCTGTTTCTTTGCGAGACGGACATGCAATTCAGTCTTCAGGATCAAGTTGTAACTTTCACCGCGTACCGCGTTTGCGAAACTATTTATGGAATCTGGTGCAGCGGAGAAGGAAGCTTGAGATCGGGGGGAGGTAGCGATTAAAAAGGGAGCACTAATTTCTTTAAATCGCCGATCAAAGTTCAGACAACTCTATCTTGGTGTTCAAGAAACATACACTCTTATATTACTTCGTAATTCGAAACGTCAATGTCAAATAAAGTCTTTCTAATCTCGGAGTAGCAGAACGTAGCTTAGGAGTAATCGAAAACTATAGGATCCCCATGCATCACGTTGGGGCATCCTCAGAGCATCGAGGGGGGCGCGTGTCGCGACCGATCCCTCGCGCACGACGCGATCGCCCGATCGGGAAAGCGACGACGGTGCGACGACGACACGCCAGACGACACTGCGCGCCGATACATAGCACTCCGCCGATCCGTTCTCTTTCCACCAGACGACGTATGTGCCACCGCCACTGCCGGGCCGAAAGTCGCCTCCTTTCTTATCGTTCAGATACTCGCCCGTCAACCGATCTAGATCCGCCGAGACTCTCGATAACGCCGAGACGAAGAAGATCGTGATCGAAGGTCACGACTTTCATTCATCATGTGCACGATCATGTGTGTGATGACGGTTTATTTATGACAATAGTTTAAAAAAACTTATCTAAGATATTTAAAAAACATTTGTGATGTCAGTCTGGATTTATATCAAAATTGCGATTTTACCACTCTTGGATCATCAACGAACGTCATTAAATTGATTCTTATGAATATTATTTTTCTGTATAAATCTGTATAAATTGGATAATCCTATACACAGCTATATCCAAATATCCTTCTAGTATTTATCGAATTTACTAAAAAGACTCCAAGTACTAGTGCATTAGTGTTAATTGTAAGTTATAATGCGTTTATGCAAATGAAAAGATTCAAATAGAAAACATCTTGTAATCCATATGTCATTGAACGGAACACTCGCTTGGAAGCATTATTAGCTTATCTACACAAACAAACAAAATACCTTTACGTTAAATCACACCAGGGAAAACCCTTATAAGGAAACTATGGAGATTGACGAAGATTAGCTTTGAAAAGTACAATATTTTTTTTGGAAAACAAAGTAAATGCAAAGAATGAATAATGTCAAATGATGAAACTTCGAATTTTAGATATAATGTCGCATATGGTATAATTTATTAACAATGAATATAAAATTCCTGTAACGAAAAGAGAAAAAGAGAGAGGGAAAGAAGAATAAAGAATATTCTTAGAAATGTGGAAAAAACATTTACATTATATGGGAATCACCAAAGAGGCATAAGTGAAATAAGTAATACGTACCATCGACGATCTTTATTCTCTAGGAGAATAATACAATGCGTACGTCATAGTAGTTGACGTCATATCAAGACTGATATTCGGACTCGAGAGTATTATTCATACGTTCATCGGTCAAGATGTAGATCTCGACTGACGCTAAAGCGTCATTCTATGTGTCTAAAGTCGAGTTAAACACCCAATTGTGCTCTGCAACTCTTTAAATAATTAATTAATATAATAACAATTATATAAATATATATTAAAATTTTCTTCAATACGCCTCAATCCTTTCACATTTTATCTTATGCTCTTGCTATTTCTCTTTCTCATCCTCAGCGAATCCAATATAATTAATTTTGAAACATTGTATTCATATTTATTTTTAATTCGCATGTTAGTTTCTGGTACCATATAATATAAGCTTTCTTATATAAAATATAAAAGGTATCTTTTGCAAAAATAATTTTATCATGATTCGCAATAAATATATCAACAATTAATATCTCATCCGATCCAATTATTGCTACGGAAATAAATACTTAAGAATCAAAATCAAATAGCGTACTCCAAATTGTTCGCTTATCAAAATACCTACAC